GAGCGGGGCGGGGGGGGGGGTGCAGAAGCAGTGGAGTGAGCCTGCCTTGAGCCAGGCCCTGCTCTGCCACTTAGCTGCTGTGGTCCAACCACTGGCTCACCTGCCTGAGTCTGTTTGTTCAACAGTACAATGGAAATAAAACAGAACTTACTTCCGTGGTTTGGTCAGATTCGTGGGAAGTGCTCAGGAACAAGGCTTGGACATGCTCAGTGCCTGATAAATGTGTTTGCTCTGTTTTTGCAATGCTGAAGAACCAAACTCTAGACTTTGTATATGTAAAGCACGTGATTTACCACTGAGTTACATCTCCAAACCCGAACACAAGGGTCTGGCTTCATTTTACCTTGTTTTCTTTTCTGAAGCAGGGTCTCATAGAGCCCAGGTTGGCCTCAAACTTGATTCTTCATCAAGATTGGTCTTGAACTCCTGATCTTTTCTACCTCCTCCAACCAGGTGCCAGGATTATAAGCATGTACCACCACACCCAGCTTTAAATATAGGTATTTCTGATATCATGTACATAATGAATGTAATCATAAACTCTGGCAATGTATATTATCATAATGTGTTCTCCTGTGGTAAGATATTCTCTTCTGTATAAGCTTTACAGAGCGTAGGAATCAAACTGACAAAACTCTTCCTTTCCAGCAACTGTACCATGGCGTTTCTCCCCCGGCATACCATTAGGGGCATCACTATGCCAGGGGCTGTGGAACCCCAATATATCCAGAGAGGGTTTGGCATCCACTAGTTTTTGCTCCCAGTATCTGTAACATGAGCAGCTGGAGGATTTGCAGTTGATAAAGGAAAAATGATTCTCGGCTCCAAGGTCTATGTGAAACTACTTCGGGTGAGCAAATGAGAATTTCCATGGTAGGGGGAAGTTCAGCCACTGTGAAAAGGAGAATCTCGGTGGTGGTGGCGCACACCTTTAACCAGCACTTGGAAGGCAGAGGCAGACAGATCTCTGTGAGTTCGAGGCCACTCTGGTCTACAGAGTGAGTTCCAGGGCAGCCAGGGTTACATAGAGAAGTCTCAAAAAAAAAAAAAAAAAAAAAAAAAAACCTTGGTTCAGTTCCCAGCACCCACATGGAAGCTCATATCTGTCAGTTACTCCAGTTCCAGGAGGATCCACTATCTTCTGGTCTCAACAGGCACCAGGCACACACGTGATGCGCACACATACATACACTCATACAAGTTTTTATGGGTATGTGTGTGTCTGTGTGTGTAAATATCACAAGTGTGCAGGTGCTTGAGGAGGACAGAAGGGGACTGCAGAGCCCCTGGAGCTGGAGTTGCAGGTTCTGTGGGATGTGGATGCTGGGAATTGAACTCCAGTTCTCTCCAAGAGTAGGAAGTGCTCTTAACTGCTGAGCTACCTCTTCGGACCTTTTCTGGGGGGAGAGAGAGGGCATAAACAGGACAACTCCTGCCAGATGTAGTGATTCCTCTTTGTAATCCCAACACTAGGAAGTGAGGCAGAGGAACGTGACTTTGAAGTCAGAACCAGGGACGCCCATCAAGACCCTGTCTCAGAATTAAATGAATCTGAAAGAAAATAGATAGGACCAACGAATTCTGCGACAGGACGTCCGAGGTGCCCACTGCTGTGTGAGAGGCATTATCTCAGCCCTTCAGTGAGCTGGAGTCCAAGCAGCGAATTTATGGGGAAGAGAGTGGTCAACTACTCACTGGGAGTTCCCCTTCTCGGGATAGGAGAATAAACCTGAAATTCTGGGA